TATCATATATAATGAGTTTTTAGAGTAAGAAAAGATTAGACTTTGATAAATATTTTAGTTAGAGGTATCTTAGATTGCAAACCTAATAAAACATTGGGCCTACAAATCATAATTACATGATTATTACCTTCATGACTAATAGTATTTCATCATGACATTTGGTTTGACTAAAAAGATTCTAGAGCCTATTCATTACTTGCATGTGAAATTATATATTATAAAAATGGTAAGATTTGTAGGAATTTATTTGTAAAGTTAAAGAAAAAAGTTAGCAATTTGTGATTCTAAAGTTTATAATATTCATAAAATTTTTAAATAAAATAATTATTTTTGTGCAAAAAATTAATGAAAAAAATTTATCATGTTCTATAATAATGTGTTGTTTACAAGTAATTGTGCTATTTTAATATTAATTTCTTTTAATATTAATGTGTTGTTTACACATCCATTGATCCCATATTAGTGTCATTTTTGTGTCATTTTCATAAGTGATAGAATTATGAGATGATGGTACATATTGCATGAGAAAATCATAAATTTGGCATGAAATTTGATGCAAATATCATATTTGCGCTCAAGGATTAAATAGTTTTTTTAAAAAAATTAATCTTGGGGACAATTGATCTTTGTTTTTTGCATATATAATAAAAATAATAAGTTCTTCATGATAACTCTAATAACATCAATAACATTTATATTGAATTAAAATGATCCTTCTTTCCCCTTCCTCCATGTACATGATGTCTATCATAAACTTTTTATAAGTTTTCTATATAAATACTTGAATTTAGAAATAACCTCTCTTAAATCTTTTTAGTGACTAAAAGCGGTCATTATTTAAAGATTTTAGGTCTATTTGGGGCAACTACAGCTTATTAAGCTTTTGCAATTTTTTTTTTTCTGAAAAAGTCTAGTTGTAATTAGAAAGCTACCACCACACCCAGACAGGACAAGTGAGAAAATGCAGATTTCAGCGGTAGCTTTCGAAAAAGCTATCAAAACGAAGTTATACTCAAATGGATAAAACTACGGTGTTGCACTGCCGCCCCCAAACAGACCTTTGGAGAGCTATTTTAATCTCAGCCATAACATTTGTTGCAACTATGAGAATTTCTTGCTTTTCTTACATTGATCAATTTGAGAAATTTGAAGCAACTAGCTTTTAAAATAATGTTATTGGAGGAGTGATGATATCTTCAAACATCAACAAGGCATCCATTTATTGTACCAAAAGAAGCTAATATCAATCTTCTTCAAAATTTTAAAAATTATTATCAATGATTAAATCCTGCTTGCATTAAATTTATATTTCATCACTCATTATTCATATCAAATAAATTAACATTATTTCTAAACCATAAACTGGTGAAATTAACATTATTAATGCATCTAGAGAAAAAACCGAAGAAGGCTATTACACTGAAAATAATGGAGAAAAAACTCCTACAGCCCCCACCCTCAATTCTTATTTTTTTTCAAATAAACCTCTTATCTATCATTATTTACATAATCAATCTCGAAATTCACTTGCAAACTTTCACATAGTTGTAATATGCATGCAGACTCTGTGCACAACAGTGTTGTACATCATTATACATATGTTATACAACAATGTATAATGCTGTTCTACACAGACTCCACATGCTCGATCACATAACTGAGCAGGCATTGGGGTTTTCATCGCTGAAGAGCTGAGGAGCATGCACTGTGTCCATGTTGTATCCGAAAGAGTTGTAATAGTCCATCTTATTCATCGTCGCCGCCATCGGAGTCGCAATCGCCCCTGCCGCAACCACCTTCGCAACCTCCTCTTTCTCCTCTCCACCACCGCCCTCCTCCTTTTTCTTCTGGCCGCCACCACCTCCCCCCTCTTTCTTCTCGCTGCCACCGCCCTCCTTCTCCTTTTTCTTCTCGCCGCCGCCTCCCTCCTCTTTCTTCTCACCGCCACCTTCCTTCTCCTTCTTCTTCTTCTCACCACCACCTCCCTCATCTTTCTTTCCACCATTGCCACTGCCTTCCTCCTTCTTATTCTTTTTCTCATCTCCAGCCTTCTCCTTCTTATCACCTCCACCATTCTTAGCTGAAACAATCTCAACGCTACGTTTGAGCTTGTCCTTAAGGTACGTTGGCAGTGAATTCACGTCCATTGTACCTTTAACGGTCACCAAATCCTTCTGGTCATCCACACTTACTTCTTGCACCCCTGGGCATAAATATAATTATGGAAACATTAGGGATGATATTACATAGGCTAAATTCGTTGGTAAGCAAGAGAATTTTTTAAGTTTTTTTTTTTATATTAACAGTTTTTGAATTGTGTTTAGAAACCATTTAAGTATTAGAAGAAGGTTGCTTGTAAGAAAAAAAATTATGAGCATTTACATACTAAAAATTATTGTATCATGAGTCTTCATGCAGTTTTGCATAAAGACTCCAATCAGGATCTGTCACGTGTACAGTCAAACCTATCCATGTATTAAATTGGATGTTGGCTTATACATATGGCCGACCCTGATTGGAGTTTTGATGTAAAACTGCATTAAGACTCATTTTACATGAGGACTCCTGATACAATAATTTTTCATATATATATATAATCTTCTTGCGAAGTTATGTTATAAACAGTACACATATTAATTATAAGAAGAAAAAAAAAAGGTTGCTTATGAATGTAAATCCCTTCAAAAAAAATTAATAGCAGTCCTCTAAATATTTTATAAAAAGTAGGCATATTAATTATGATAAATATCTGAAAAATTTGCCAAATTACACAAAGTAAGTAAACCACTAGAATAAAATAAAAATTAAATAAATAAATTAGTTACCTTTAACCTTAAGAATAGTCTTCTTGATTCTTTGAATGCAGCCGTGGCAGTGTAGGCGAATCTGCAGCACCACGGTCGAAGCCACCAACTAACATAATATCAATTAAAAATAATAATTTAATTTTTCATCCATTGCTAAATGTAATTGCTGCTGTAAAATTTTATTTTACCAGGTACTTAATTGCAAATAAAAATAACTTTTTTGGTCAGCAACCGACCTCCTTTGATTTCTTTTGGTCCTTCGAATCACCGCCAGCGCCAGCGGCGGCAGAGGCCGGCTATCCAGGGATCCACATTCCCTGTAACACTCAATTGGTTGGTAGCCTTATCGACCGTAACTCCCTCCACCCCTAAATCCAAATGAAAATAAAATTAAATAAATAAAAATTGAGTGGATTAAAATGCTAGAAAGCGATTTTCGAGATTTTTTTATTTGGCAATCAAACGATTAGGAATTCAATAATGAAAGGCAACGTAAGCCGGATTGAATAGAATGGCCGATGTGATGGATACAAGATGCTTTGGGTTTGAGAAGAAAGCAGAAGGTCGAATCAATGAAATCAAATCATTAACTCACTTGTTCTTCTCTAAATTTTCAATTAATCGAATAAAAGCATAATCCATCAATTCCTCTTTCAATAATCCTCGACAAATCCAGAAAATCAAAAAAGCAAAACACCAGAAAATGATCTGAGGACAGAATCTGGAACAAAAAAAAATCGATCCCCGTCCGATTCCGATTCTTCGGAACAATTTTAAAGGGAAATTGAGAAAATAATCCAGGGCGCGGCTAAATCGCAGTCCCCTGCATCTGTATCTCTGCAACTTATTAATTAAATACCTTGGAATCCTCTGACGCATCGCCTGATCTTCGATGCACAGCCGTCGCAATGCACATCGACCTTAAAAATGACGACAGGCAACACTTCTTCCTTCTTCTTCCCGCCATCGACATCCTCCTTCTCCTTCTCCGCTTTCTGCAAAACCATCAAATCAACCATAAATCCATCAACAAAAATCAACTAAACTGCATTCAAAATCTAAATTCATATTCGAATCTTTCGATCTCGCTTACCTGTCCCATATCCGATCTTCTCACAGCGGGAGTTCTACAGAAATGTGTGAAGAGGAGAAATGGGAATGATAGAAGAGAGAAGATTTATTTAAATAAGTTTTGCTATGCGGGCATGTATGCATGCGATGCATCTATGCGGTCATGTATGCATGCGTGAATCGTGATGCGTTGTGGAACGGATGGTGTTACATGCGGGGGAGGTAGTTAATTTTGTTAGGCATTCTATGTTTTCTATTATTCAAAACGGTCCAACTTGGCCGGCAGCCCGGTTTAAACCGGCGCCACTATCCTTATTGGATTAAACATGTCTATTATTCATTTTATTGAAAAAAAAAATTGCTTGCAAAAATAGTGCTAAATGGTCAGCTTGTCAAAAACAATACTCATCGAATTCTTTAAATTAAGGTTAAAATAGTCTTTACGAAGAATTATTATAAATTAATTTTAATTTAGTTGAGGTGTATTTGACAATTGTACAAGTCATATAAAAATATTATTTAAAATTAAAATTAAGTAAATTTGACAAGATTTTTATTCTTGAATTTCTTATTCCATCAAATAATAATTTTCTTACATTAAAAAATTAATTAAGACGTCTAGAGGTATTTCATACATATGTTGAGAAATCTAAAACGAAGAAGAATAGAAAACGACACAAAACCAGAAGAGCACATAGAGATTTAACGAGGTTCGACAAATATACATACATTATCGGGAGCAGAGGGACAGATTCACTATTTCAGAGGAGTTACATAGTCATAGGGTTACACATCTATTTATAGATAATACCCACAGATAAATTTACAACACGCCCTTGCTCCCCCAACCCACTAATCCAAGAGACAGACATATTCACACCAAGAGACACTCTTTTTCATTCCAAGAGACACACCTCTTTAATTCAAGATACTCCAAATTTACTGGTATATGAATCGTACCTAACAATTCTCCATCTTGGTGAATATCCAGCCCCATAGAAGAAAATCTTCATCTTGCAAATATTCAACCCCTTAAGAGAAAAACATCATGGAGTTTCTTACACCAAAGTGAGTTGGGTAATAACGTCAACTAGCAATTGCAAACACTCAACAAGTTCAAGTAACGCGAGAACTTGTTGACAATATCTGACTTGATCAACTTTCCTGCTGCATTTTCATCATATTATACGACAGAGTGAACTCCACCTACAACTGTACTCTCCAACAGTTTATAGATATTACCATCACGTTTTATAGCTCGCAATGCCTTCAAAATTTTTTGTTGCGCCAACAAATCTTTCACTCTTATTTGCTACAATTCGAAGTTTCATGTTTCATCGAACATCATTATCTCGAATTTTGCACCAAATATTGTCTTTTGAAATTAATCGTGCAATGAATTTTTCCTGTCTTGTATTGAAACAAAACACACCACAAACAAATTCAAAGAAATCTGAAATTTTTTTTGTTAGTTGCAGCAAATTTCTCGCAATTTCCTGTGATTCGTGAATCAAAATTTTCACAAGAAGCACATTTCTTGTTTGCACAAAAATTTGGTCGAAATACTATGAACTCCAGCCGAGCTTCACCTATCACAATTTCTCCTGCGACAAACTTACGAACAATCTGGGAAATTCGCGAACTCCACCTGTCGCAATTTCTCCTGAGACAAACTTATAAACTACGCTGGCTAAACTCTACCTGTCGCAACTCCTCCTGTGACAAACCTGCGAACTTCGCTAGCCGATCGTCTGTTCGCAAAATGAGGCTCCAGTTCACGAATCCAAACTCCATCTGGCGAACTACTACACGAGAGCCTCTTCTTCGGTTGCAAAGAAATCCAAAATCCTTCGCCTGTTCTTGAATGTTCGCGAAACTCCTGGCCTTGCCCTTGAACTTGCGTGCTGCGCAAATCGTCGCACTGCTTGCCTCACGTAAACTGTCGCGCCTCTGGCTGCCTGTCGTACGAATCGTTTGTCGCGCGATTGAAACCCATAACTTCTGTATCGCGAACTGTCGCGACACTTAGCGAGGTCCTCCCGCAAAACCAAAATGGAGAACTGTTCGCCTGTGCCGCGATTGGCCTGTCCCGTTCCTTGGCTTGATCATGATTGCCCTCGCAAACCTTCCTTGAAGCCGAACCTCGCGTGGAACACCGGACAGAGACTGCCCCGCGTCGCACTTCTACAAAAAGTCTGTCGTGAACCTCTTTTCGCCAAACTCCTCTAATTCCTCTACGTCGCACTTTATCCAATCTGTTGTGAACCGCGAACAATCACCCAACCTCGCGAGATCGAAAAAACTCGTTAAGATCCGAACCGCCGAACACAATACCTCGAACTCCAAATTTCTCAATATCTGCTAATCCTTCTTCTTCTAAATTTATCCTGCGCCAATCTCCTCCGCTCTAAAACCTCACACTGATACCAATTGTTAAGAAATTTAGGACGAAGAAAAATAGAAATCGACACAAAATCAGAAGAACACACAGAGATTTAACGAGGTTCGGCGAAGATGCCTACATCCTCGAGAGCAGTGCGGCGAATTCACTATTTTAGAGGAGTTACATACCTATAGAGTTACACATCTATTTATAGATAAAACCCACAGATAAATTTACAACACGCCCTCGCTCCCCCCAACCCACTAATCCAAGAGACACACTTCTTCACACCAAGAGACACTTCTTTTTATTCCAGGAGACACACCTCTTCATTTCAAAATACTCCAATTTTCCTGGTACATGAGTCATACCTAACAATATCCATAAGAAAATTTTAAAATTCAACACAGTCAATTTGATTGCCAAAAATTAATCAAAGAAAGTTTAAATAGTGTGATTCCAAGTTGAACATATCCTTCAAAATGAAAATTTTGCTATGAATTAATATGTTTATAGAAAACATACATATCCACATGAGAAGTCAATAAAAATATCAACAAAAATAAATAAATAAGAGTATAAATTAATTAAAAAAATGAAAAAAATTGAGTCCCAACTAATAAATAAATTGCAAGTCTTATTTTAGTTCGAGGATCCTAAGGTCAAACACCATAGTTCATTTGATCTCAATAAATGTTTTAATGAAAATTTACACATTTGCACTTAAGTAGATATAGACCAAATCAAAATTTTAATTTTAAATAGTTTATTATTTAGTGAGAATTATTGAAACATCACTATGTTGAATATTTAAGAGGGTGAGGCATCTTCTCAAATAATTTTGCATTATTTAAATTATCTGTGTGTGATAGGTCTAAAATTCAAAATTTTTAGTGCAACCTCACTTAAAAATTTTAAGCAATTTATGTTATTCTTGTAATTATTAAATTTTTGCTTGCATTCTTCGAAGGGAGCAAACCTAGGGTTTCTCTCTGGCGTTCATCAGGTGATTCTAGTGCTTCTCTTCGAGAGACCCCCTCTTCCCTATCTTAGGGAAGTTTTATCTTGGCCTTTCTTCATCTTCTCTTTTATTTTATTGCTCTTCAAGATCTTTTTGGGACTTTGTCCCATGGAGTCCTCTTGCCCGCCTCTTATGCATTCCAACAAATTTAACCAATCTTAGCATATATTTTATATTCTAAAATTTGAATGAAATTTTATTATTTCATTTTAGGCTTAACTAATATTGGATTGCATGTCTGAGTTTATTTAAAGATCCTACTTTTGATGACTGCAATTGTTTGTTGTTTCTATTTTTGGCTCTTTGTTGTTGTGTTTCTTTCTTGCTCATCTTGATCTTCAATTGCTGGCTAAGATTTGACATTGAGTCATGATGAATTCTAATCGTTATTAAAATTTAACCAGTTTCAGTATATATGTTATATTCTAAACTTTGGATGAAATTTTAATATTTTATCTCAGTTAAGTTTTGAGCTCAATCTTTATTTCCATTTTTTATGTTTTTATTTCACAGCATTTGTCAGGTTGATTATTTGCTACAATAACATCACTCTTCTCTACCTTTTTTCTTTGTTGGCTATTCTTTTGTTTGTGTTTTTTTCGAGGTTCAACTATTATTTGTAAGCTTGTTTCAGATTGTAGCTAATCTCTTCCCTTTGGTCTGAAGAACCTTCTTTTGTTGACTGCAACTCATTGTTATTTCTTTTCTTCTCTCATTGTTGTTGTGCTCTTTGTAATTGGTGTTGTTTGTTTTTTTTTTCCTTTTCTCTGTGTGAGTTGTAATTTAATCGTAGCTCACTGTTATTTTTCAATAAAACTAGACGCGACCCTCACATCTCCTGGGATACTGACACTTACGGCGGAATACTACACGTTTAAAATTTGATATTGCATGTTCATATATAAAATTTTAAATGATTAAAAAATCCTTCTAAAAACTAGTCAAAGGAATTGCACCGTAAATGTTGCAGTTGTAGAAACTATTATAGAAAATTCCCACTCAAACAATTCAAGTAGAAAAAAGTTAGCTCTATCCAAGGATTTTGGAGACTGTATTTTGTCTCTAGGCATATACATATCTAACATAACACATGTATTTAACTTTTTTTTTATTTTTACACCACCCAAATCTTTTATGTCACATCAAAACAAAGAGCACAATTATAGCTTTTAATAGGGAAATGTAAAGTGAAATGTATGAATGTAGAAGTTGATGTATAAGAGTTAGATATATAAATATGTAGATATGAATTGAGTGGTATGTGTGTAAATCTTCAACCATTTGGAAATATGATTATTAATGAGCAGAGCTTGAGCGTGCATGGTGTTTTTTTCATGTTTTCTTCGCTTCAAAAAAAATTTATTCGAAATAGGCTCAGGTTTGAATTGGATCGTGAGTAGCATATTTTTTTTTTTTGGCGCGATTTGAATTTGTTTTTTAGTATTTGTAGGGCTGTCAAAACTGTTCGTTGTTCGTGAACAACTCGTGTTCGGCTCGTTCGCTAAGTTAACAAGCCGAATACGAACAACACGAATAAATATTTGTTTGTTCCTGTTCTGCTCGTTTTGACTCGAAATATTACCAATCAATTATTGGCTACAAGGCTACAAAGATTTATAATCAATTAAAAGCATTAATTAAGAAAATAGAATAAAAAATATTAAATTAGATTAAAATGATATGCCTATGTGATTAGGGTTGTCAAAACGTTTCTTTGTTCGTGAATGACTCGTGTTCGGCTCGTTAAGCAAATGAGCCGAACAC